CACACAGCAGGTGTGTATTAGCTAATGTACATACAGAGGCAGAGGAACACATCCATCAGCTGTTTGTGGGTTACAGACACAGGAAGCAATAAAGTGAAGCAAAAGTTGTTGTTTAGTGTTGTTTTTTATTACCTAATCATCATTATTATTATACCATCACCTTAAATTGCTTGTCACAGGAGAAAGTGTACATTGAAAATAGTAAAAGAGCTGCACATGAACAGCATTTGTTTGAGATACAGAAGTAATAATTTAAAGTTTTACTTAGACTTATCAAGTTTGTGTGAGTTTTTTGCCTTTAATATTTTAACATTCTCAAGTGAATTTAATCTTGTTTTATTTTCATCCCAGGCGTATTGGTTTTTAATGATTAATAGTTTTTAAAGTCGTTAAATATATTAATAATGATTGCATACAAATTATCCTATCACCTGCCACAAGACTGATGAGAAACTAAACACTGATCTGCTGGCAAATGCACACAAATTGCCAGTAGTAGCCAGAAGGGAATATATTGGTGAAAATGTGAAGAAAAGCATTTATCTAATCATGTCTGAAATCACCCGCTGAGCTATAAAATCAATAAATGTGTTTTTATCCCCACAGCTTATCTTGAGACTTTAACATTAACCTTACATTAACCCTTACACAAGCACTTAATTGCACCTCAGTCAATAATGTTAATTGAGAAAAGCGTTTGCTTTACTTTTAGAGATATGTGTATTCATGTTATGGTAAAGTGGTGATCTTTGGAAGGGGCTATTAGAAGTTGAGAAAGCTAATACAGAGTGACATTTTTCATGCTGAGATGAGTTACAATGCTGAATGTGTTTCTTTGCACTACTCTGAGTGAGAGGTCAATGCCTTTTAGGACAGTGATACCAAAGTGATGGGGATACCCTCTGTCTTGCCTTAACCTCCCACTCTAATTTGGCCCAGTGGAATACAACAAATGGTGTGCATAATTGAACATTACTTCCCTGATGATTTCTGGCAGGCCTGGCGGGGGTTCTCCCAGGTCAATACTTATGTCACTTTAAGGGGAAAAATGGGACTAATTTTGCTCTTTGATCTCTCTTAAATGATATTAGAGGCCAAGAATCATTATCCGTCTTTAAGGAAAGTAACACGGAGAGAGTGACTTAGATATATAATTTCACTACCTTAACTTACAAGACAGTATGCTGCTGTATTCCTACAAAGCAAAACAGACATAGCAATATGGGCAGGTGATAAAGTGTCTAATATAATATATTCATTGCTTTCACCTGGAAATAATAACAACACTAATGATAATTATAATGTATAATGTTACCAAATCCTTTCTGGTTATATCAGGGTAGTCCATGTTTTTTCATAATCAACATACTACATTTATCTATGATCATGCAGCATTAGGATCCATGGCCATTATATTTATATATTATTTGTCTCTTTGCGTAACTGATAATTCTGTGCAAATTGACAAAGACAAGCAGTATGACTTAATGACTTGTGCATGAACTTTACTTTTATTATTCATTATTATGAACTTTATTATCTCGCCTTGCCTGTACCACAGCCACTCAAACAATGAAGCAATTTCATCAACACATCCAACAGTGTGCTTTGGAGACACTGACGATGAATGGGATTTAATGGAACTACTGGTTGCCACACAGCATGCATTGCTTCCGCCTTCTCTGATGACAACAGAAGTCTATAGAAAGTGTCGGAACTCTCTTCTTCAGTGGGTCTGATGTCCACATCATGATATGACATCAAACACTGTGCAGTCAAGAAAGCATTTTTCCCCAAAAAAACTAATTTATGTTATTTCCTTTTTATGTTTGTATTCTATAAATAACTCTAAATAGTTATGTTCCATCACAGACATAAATATCATATTTAATTGGGAGGTACTTATGTACTAAAAGGGTCACAAACATTGTTTTGACTTCATTAAAATGGTACAATCCAATCTTTGAATTGTAAAGAGAGCACTGGTGCGACATGTAATATAAAATAAAATGTAAGGCAGTCAGCCAGAACAGGTCTCAAGTACCCTATGGTATAAAAACATGTCCAATGCTAGTTGAGATGACTGATTGACTGGCTCTACAGCCTGCAGTGGGTTGATTTGGTTTGATTTCAGTTCATTTAATAGAATGCTGTACACAGTCTTTCCCATCCACAGCATCATTTAAATGTGGATGAAGTCATTTATTTTTACCATGTTGGGATCTTATTTCATGCAAGGAAGAAAGTTTGGCAGCATGATTCATCACAATTTCCCCAAATGCCACTTGCAAAAAAAAGTAACAATGCAATTACTGTGTCAGACAGTAGGAAGAAATTACTTCAGTTTACAGAGGGCTCTGTGACAGGTGCATTGTGGGAGAATTGATTCTTACATAGGGGGTAAGTGAATTGTCATTACCTGTCTGTTTCTTATGACACTTGGCTGGGTGCCATCTGATTTGTTACAAGAGTTTTGAATTGGCTTGCTGCCCTCGCTTCAGCTAGCAGCCGACTCTCTCCAGATTAGCAGAGGAAAGATATAAACCTTCTCTTTACAGGTCAAGGGCTTAGCCACTCAGAGGTTAGACATCAGTCAAGCAGGGTGTGAGATTTGTGAAGTTGAGCAGCAAAAATTCAAGCGTGATAGATGTTTGCTTTTTCTCTCTGCTTATTCAAACATCACAAGAGGTGGATGGAGGGGAAAGAAACAAAAAATAAGAAATGTGGGGTGTCTGCTCTGCTTGGAATGGTCGTCGATTCATTGTGAAAAACACGGCAAGAGGGATCAATACAATATATGTTGCCTCCATTAGCTTGATTAAAAAGAGGGATGGATGAAGGCTCCGAGCTAAACAACTTTATTCCATGGATTATACCGGGATAAGGGCTTTGGCTATAAAGAACCACAGATTAAGATCAGACAGGGGAAAGGAAGAAGATCACTGCAGTCAGGGAGCAGGACCAGCACCAGACTTTCAGGGGCCCTATAAGCAGGATTGGACTCACTACCCCTTAAACAACCAGCACCACATTGTTACTAATATGGCAGTATGTCTTCCAAACTATCCATCATATGGTGACAAAACAGTCTACACTTTATGGCCAAAAATACGTATGATATATGTATGATTATAAAATGTATCATTATTTTGAGTAGTATTGCTGTTGTTGATGTTCCATTATTATCTCAAATAATTATAAATACATTAAAGCTGCAGTATATATTTATAAAAATAACTTTTTGGCATGTTTGCTGAAACCTTCTCTATCCCGATAGTAGTTAGTGAGACAGATAATCTGTGGAAAAAATCTGGTTCCACCAGCTCCGCCTAGTGCTCTAATAGTATTTGCTAATTTCTTGGCTGCTTGTTTGTTTTCATTCCAACATGGTGGATTCTTACAAATACCATTAGGAGAACTATGAGGAACCAGAGGAACCTGATTTTTTCACAGATTATCTGTATCATGTACTACTGTCAGGATAAAGTGTTAGAAATATGTATAGCAAACACCCTCTGCTGATTGAAACCTGGCTATTACAAATTCCTTCCACTACTGGCTGATTTGGAATCGTGGTGACGCATGTGGTGGCAGTTCACCAACCTGTGTCACCAACCAACCTGCACACTTCTCTTAAACCTTTCTCAACTCAAACAATGGCTAGCTACATAGTCGTAGCCTGACACTCCCCCACAGACACAAGAGAGCTGGCCTCTCAGAGCTGCTAGCTTAGCTAACGTTACAACACAGACGGCCGTAAATGTGTTTCTTGTGGTGTTCCTCCTACGTCACACACTCTGTAGCCACCTGGCCATGTCCCCTATATGATTGTTTCTGCTGCATTTGCTGGAAGTGAGGGAACTAGCATAATTTAGGGGTTTAATTACACTTAAATCATAAAAAAAAATGAAACCGGAGTATGTGCAAGATCTGATGGTTAAAAAATTTGATTTTGCATTGAGGCTCTTGGTATCCTTAGCAGTTTGGGAGGTGAGGGTGGGGGTTGGTCAGGGCTAAATGACTGAGGGGGCCCTAAATGGGACAGGGCCCCTGGATCATGTTGGGGATTATTGACCTTTCAAGCTCAGTTTGTGTGAACTGTTGTTGGGGCCAGAAGCAGCTGCTTAGTTGACACTGTCAGGTCCTACTCTGTCAGGAGGGAGGATGCCAGATGAGAGAGTGCAGATGAGAAGCTGGGGAGGGAAGAGAAAATCCATAGAAAGCGAAAGCTGTATAGCAGTGGGGATATGGGGTGAAGTGGCAAGGTTGGCAGGTAATGCAGTTGATACTTTGCAAAGTGCTCGCTGGCCTCTAATTGGCCTATCGATGGCACTAATCACACTCAGCAAGAGGCGGCAGGTTGCAGCTCACAGGACTGCAACACTTGATTTGGATGGAGGATAAGGAAGGCCCAGACTACATCGAGCCTCCTGCCACCTGCTGTCTGCAGCAGTCTCACAGGAATGTTACATATTTCACAGCTGGCAATAGATGTGTGCTTAACACATAGAATCATTACATCAAACACACTCTAACAAAGACTATAATAAGATTATTTTTTTATTTTGATGTTTCTTTTGATGTTTTAAAGGTCCAGTGTGTAACATTTAGAAGGATCTATTGGCAGAAATGTATGGGAATAATCTTTTGTATCTAGAGATGGCGCGGGTTTGCCTTCCGTGGAGTCCGCCATATTTCTACAGTAGCCAAGAACAGATAAACCAAGGCTATGGGAATGGTTTAGATATCCAATCCAACTTTATTTGTTAAGCACTTTAAAAACAACCAAAGTTGATCAAAGTGCTGTACAGGAGAATAAATAAGACATCATAAATGTAAACAGTGATGGTGATGAAGACCACTGTGAGGAATATAGACAGTGATGATGATAACACTGGAAAGTTCCCGTGGCAGATAACACGGACAAAGTCCGACGGCGACGAGCTCGATGTCCGGGCTGCAGACGCTCTTTCACACAGTCGTGCCCGGCGTTACACCACCTGTTGTTTATGAGCACGGCAAGTCCCCCTCCTTTCTTCATGCCGGTCGTGGTGGTGTCCCTGTCGGCTCGAACTGTCTGGAAGCCGGGAATGGTGACGTTGGAGTCCTGTTGGAGTATCTGCTCGTGTAGCCACGTTTGTAGGGTTTAAACCTCCTCTTCTTCATCCTCCGTTTAACCCCCGCTCTGCAGCCTCGCCGTCTCCTCCTCAGCTCCTCCGATTTGGAGGGTCTCTCTCCAGTCGGGATGCTCGGGTACCTCAGGGCGATCATCTGGTCGCGGGTATAAACAATGCGACTAGGAGCGTTCGCATTTTTTGCGGCCACTGTAGTGTCTCCTTTGCACTTAGAAGGGAAGGGTGAAGTGAGGGAGTTAAAAATCTGCAACTACACCACTAGCTGCCACTAAATCCTACACACTGAACCTTTAATGTTTAATGTGACCAAGTCATATTCTTTATATATGCTGTTTGTTTTTACTAATAAAACAGAATTTTCAGCATTTGGTCAAATCTGCAAATATCACAGATTTAATCCTTTAATTACTACTTTGAAGGTCAAGTGTGTAGGATTTAGCAGTATGCCAAGGTGTAGTTGCAGACTGCAACTCTTCGCTTCACCCTCTCCATCCAAGACCAAAAGAGAAAATATAGTGGCTGTGGAATTTGCTAAAAATTCAAATGCCCCTATCTAGAGCTGGTGTTTGATTTTTACATTTCATAGTTTTTTTTCACACTTTTTTCTAAGTCATCAATATGTATCAATGTGATTCCAAGCAGCACATGATGAGCAGAAAATCTGTTTTACCAATACCAACCTTCTGACATATTTATTTTACAGATGGCTACTTTGTGTTGTTTGGACTGAAGAAGCCTGCTGCTAAGTCAGGTAAATAGGTCGGATGTACAGCGGCACTGGCCTCTGTCCACAATGACCCGCAGAGAGATCAGAGTCTTTCATTCCTCTGACAAAAGTGTTGAGACTTTTTTTATTCTGGCCTGAAATCTGATCAGATGGAAGAGAGAAGTCCCCAAACATTGGGCCGCTCTATAAAAAGTGTTTCAGCTCCACATGAGGGGAGGACAGCTCTGATCTTAGTTAGGCTGCAGGACACACCCAGCCAGCAGAACAAACATGAGCACTGTCACTGTGTTTGGCATTTGAGATGACTGAAGTAACACAGTGCTGAGCAGGCACACAGGGAGTGACATCAACAAGGTCTGAGCAGTAAGGAACTTTCAGATGAAATAACTAAACTAAACTAAAATAATGGTTTGGAGGTGCAACCTAGCTGTAATGTTAAAGGTCCAGTGTATAACATTTAGGAGGATCTATTGTTAGAAATGGAATATAATATTCATAGGTATGTTTTGTATAATCACCTGAAAATAAGAATAAGTTTTTATTACCTTAGAATGAGCCATTTATATCTACAGATGTCTTAGGTTGCCTTCTATGGAGTCCATCATATTGAACCGCCATGGCTGCAGTGGTTCAGAAGGGACAAATCAAACACTGGCTCTAGATAGGGGCATTCATGTTTTTTGCACGTTTCACAGCCAACGCAGCTTCTCCTTTGTGGTTGGAAGGAGGGTGCAACAGGTGATTTGTTATTGATGTAATGTTTTATTTAATGCCTAAAATAGTATTCCTTATTGTTAAAAGTCCTGTAAAATAATAAGGAATGTCTGTAGTATATTGTAGATTTGATCTATGGCATGTCAAATATTTCCTTAAACAGTGTTGTCTCATGCTTTCATAATTTTTTCCTGATTTGGAAGAATTTGAATTATCACGTGAATCACGTGCAATGACGTGTGAAATGAATGAAAAGCAGAATCGATGAGATGGAGGAAAGGCTGTTCTGTGATAGATTAAACAATATTCGAGAGAAAAGTACAAACAGGAAAAATATTGACACCAAAATGACTGACACCAAAGGGCTAATGAAGGAAGGTGGCAGGAGTCATTGAAACATGAGGATACTGCACTGCTGTGCTAGTGATCAGTTTCCAGAAACATCTAAGCGAGGAAGAGCTGTGACTTTACCCCTCATACACTGCAGTCTAATACCAGCTAAATGCAGCAGGCCTCCAGCTGTAAGAATCCATTTAAGATGAAGAGAACATTACATCAGAGCCATAAGCTTATCTTAAAAGAATGCATGTTCTCTGTGGCCATTATGGAATAGAGAACAGTGACTGTTATCATTTAAAGTTCAGGATTTGCCATAAACATATTTGATGAAAAATCCGACTGTTGTGTTAACAACTTGAATCCGACACCTCAAACGCTATACTTTAGAATAGTGGGACTTCCACTAGGGGTCACCAAAGCTTTAAGGGGGGTCACAGGGCCTTCTTGATTTTAAGGGGTGTAAAAACATGCATAATGTAGCATTCAGTCAATTTCTGAGAAGAAAAGCTAGCTGTATTCACAGAGCCTTCACTCTCTGACAAACAGCCTCCTCTAAACCAAAGAGCTGATAGAAGAATGAGAAGAAAACACTGAATTTGTCAAAAAAGAAGCGAAAGTATGTATGACTGTTAAAAATAAAATAAGCACATAATCCGGACAGAGAATTGTATAAAAAGTTCCTAAAAATATTATGAAAACCCTTCTCTGATCAATATTCGCATGAAATAAGCGGCTCAAAATTCATCCATATTGCTCCTTTTACACAAACTTCCTGCAGTTATTGTGGTCACTATTTGGGTTAATTGTGTGGTTTATCCGTTGTTCTGTTCTGTGGGTTAAGGAAAAAGGTTGATAACCAGTGGCCTAAATAACTCCTGATGTGTTTGGTGTTGGTTAGTTGTGTACAGCAGGCCCCGGACCATCAAATTTTACAAATAAAGTAATGATGTAAGACAACATCTATAAAGAATTTAGCAGAATCCAATATAACCATAAATAACTCAAGTGAATGGTAGAGATAATATCTGTTCAACCAACTAAATTATCTGTATCCTTATCTGTTTGTGGGGCAACCAGAACTTGTTAATTTAAGTCTGAAAGTGATATTGTTTGATTACAAACCTATTTAGAGAATGGCTTAAGAGTTGTTTTGTTATAAAAGTTCCTATATTTATTAGAAAACTGATACTGACAGGTTTTACTCTCATGGTATTACGTACATTAGAGTACAGTTAGTACAAAATGCAGCCGCCAGACTTTTAACGAGAACCAGCTGCCGGTCCCACATTGCTCCTGTTTTCGCATCCCTTCATTGGCTTCCGGTAAAATTCAGAATCAATATAAGATCTTACTGATTACATATAAGGCACTTCATGACCTGGCCCCTATTACATACATTTCAGATCTCCTTGTTCCTCATTCCACTCCTGAGCCACTTCGCTCCTCAAATCTCGGCCTTATATCCATTCCCCGCTCTAACTGCAAAACTGAAGGTGACCGTGCCTTTGCTTTTTTAGTGGAATAGTGTTCCCCATTCACTCAGATACACTGAATCTGTGGACTGTTTTAAGCGGCTCCTCAAAACCCACCTCTACAGGCAAGCCTTTTTTTAAATCTCCTTGTTTGTTTTCTCATCTGTCATCTCTCTTTTAATTTATCCTTCCCTCATATTTTATCTTCCTTATGTTTGTATTTACATGCTCCCTATGTTGGTTTGATTGGGTATGGTTATACTCATATGTATATTTGTTGTTTGTAAAGCACTTTGGATCTCTGTGTCAAAAAGGTGCTATATAAATAATGCTTTACTTACTTACTTACATCAACCGTTGCAACCAAGTACTCACTCAATCATAGCGAACATGGTGTATGATGATTTACTCCAACAAATACAAAAATAAAAGCAGAGCAGAGGACGTGATTTTTCTCTGGGCTAAATTCTTGTCAGCACCAGAAATTGAAGTTAATTGTGTGAGTCTATAGCATCTCAATTAGCAGCGGATGCATCACTCTTCTTCCCTGTTCTACTTTATGAATCAGGTTAAATTTCTGCCTAAGAGCTTGCCAAGTGCAGCTTTAACTAGGGACAGACAAACCGCTCTTTTCACTGATACTTTAGCAGCCAACGCCAGTGTGGAGAGGAGATGGAGCGCAGAAAAGAAAGTGGATATACCAGGTGGTGCTACACTTGAAAATCTCATTATGTTTTCAGGGACTCAATGCAGGACAAGGTGGTGAAGACGGGGTGACAAAGAAAAGCACCTTCCTCACTTCCCTTCACCTGGAGAGGGCCTTACACAGCACCAGAAAACCATGAAAGACAACAAATGTATTGAATCACAAATGTATATATACATATATACATGATGTGAGTGTTAATCACATCATAGTTTCTGTTTTTATTAAGAAATTAAGCACATTTTACATGCAGCATGATATAATTAGTACCCCCCCCCCACCAATATCTTGTTATATTACCTTAACCCTTAGTTTAACACTTACTTTAAGATGTTCCCCCCCATAGCTACCCCAGAATCCATGCCCTGGACTGAGTGACAGACAATGCTCATTTAAAACACAAAAGCACATAGACTTTCATTCAGACTACAGCTGCCCTCTTTCAGACCTGTATTCTAAAGCCACTTTCTGTTGTCCCCTGCTCAGGTTTTTCCCCACGGAGGGAAATAAAGCTGGGCCCCAATGCATTGCATTTGGTGTGAGGGGAGAGAAGGGTTCGCCTGTTTGAAATAAAGAAGCAAAAACCTCTCCACTGAGAGGACACCTTAGAGGTGCACCTTTTGCTTTGTCCTGGGCGGTTGGCTGGAAAAATGGAAGGCAAAGTAGGAGGGGAAAACATCATGCAGGTGGGCGATTCGTCCCTAATGTGTTTATGAAAGATTCTTTGATAAAAAAGGGGGGAAGAACGTCTGTTGATTCTCAATGAGCTTTTTGTCGCTTTTTTTCCCAAGTTTCCGATTTAGCACCTTACAGGCAAGCGCCTTGTGTGCCTCGAACCACTGCACTTACAAAACATATATGAGTTTGTTGTTGAAGGTAAGCCAGCCTGATTTACCTTTTTGGCTGAGGGTGTGGATTCACCTGTCTGTGGGAACATTTGAG